TTTCCTTTAGAGGAGCCTCTTGGCAGTTTCCAGTTTTCCGCTGTAGAACAGAGACAAGTCACAGAACCGTGGCGCTGAATAGCCTCTGGGGATCGCAAGAGGATGGAGCCCTGCAGTGTCTGGAAGATGAGCTTTGGGTGAATCATGAAAAGACTAATGCTCGAGTTTGCCTTGGAGTGTTGTAGAGGAAGGTATGGGGATTTGGAGCCCAGTGGAGAATTGGGGGTGAAGGAGGAATTGGAAGAGGAAACTACAAATTTCGGGCTATAGATGTTCTGTGGATTTTCAAAGGCCTTTCCCAATCTTTGCAAAAAATTACTGTGGGAGCATCATCAAAACTGACACCTGTAGGTGGCGCTATGAAGAGGTGACTTGGCCGGGAGAGAGGTAGCCAGGGACTTGAGGACCGCAGCAGATTTTCCGTGACTCCGACCCTGACTCTGCTCCCGGCCCTGCTTCCTGTTTTCAGAGGGATGGTGAGGACTATGCAGCAAGATTCTCCGCTTTCAAGGTCAGCGCAGGGCTAGCTGGTGGTGGAATTTGCCCAGAGAAGGAGACAGGTTGGAAATCCCGCGCCTCAACCGCACCGAGCTGGGCAGCTCCACCACTCTGTCCATTGCCGGGTTGTGAGCACTCGCCCGGAGGGAACCGCGAAGTGAGCGAGCCTGTTCTCTGCATCACTGAAAATGGGAGGAACGCCAGTGCTTAGCTCCAAGACTGGCCCGCAGGTCGATTTCGGCTTCTTGAAGCCTGCAGGCAACTCCAACTTGACAAGAAAGCTGAATTCAACATAATCTGGACCAAGATGGGGAGGGAACCTGAAGGGCTTTGCATTTGCTCGAGAGCCCCAAACCAAGGCTTAGACGTGCGGCCTGGTTCGTATTTATCTTTTCCAGACAGCCATTGGGCCAATCGGGTCTTCGGAAGGAGGCAACCCCCCTGCCCTTACAGGGACCCTGAGGGCAGGGTCTTTTAAGAGCCCCGCAAAGCTTTTCCCACACGCAGCGGCAACTCTCTTGAGCTGCTTCAGCTCAAGGCTGTAGAGTGACCGCGAACGGTGTCCTCCTCTTGGTATGGCTCCTACAGATGCTTAGACCCAGGCGAGACGAAGTGCCCCCTCCCTCTGACAAGGAGGCTCAGCCTGGCCTCCCAGAAGGGATCCTCCCTGTCCCTGCCCCCAACCGGATCCGATCCTTGATAGCACTTGCGAGATCGCAGCCACAAGTTTTGCTCTTTGCACGCGCGCGCGCGCGCGCGCGCGCACACACACACACACACACACACACACACACAATGTGTTCTCTTTCATTTGCGGATTTAATAAACAAATGTAACCATATCACATGGGGCTCCGAGCCGTCCTTCTGAAAGCAATTCCGCTGTTGAAAACTGAAAAATGGGTGTAATTTGCGTTCAG